CCTCACCCCATCCTTCTCTGCCTCACCCCATCCTTCTCTGCCTCACCCCATCCTTCTCTGCCTCACCCTCCTTCCCGCCTTCACCAAATCCTCTCGACTCACCCATCATTCTCCGCCTCACACCCATCCTCTCTGCCTGCCTCACCCCATCCTTCTCTGCCTCACCCCATCCTTCTCCGCCTCACCCCATCCTTCTCTGCCTCACCCCATCCTTCTCTGCCTCACCCCATCCCTCTCTGCCTCACCCCATCCCTCTCTGCCTTGCCTCCTTCCTCAATACCTTGCCTCCTTCCTCACTGCCTCGCCTCCTTCCTCACTGCCTCGCCTCCTTCCTCACTGCCTCACCTCCTTTCTCACTGCCTCACCTCCTTCCTCACTGCCTCACCTCCTTCCTCACTGCCTCACCTCCTTCCTCACTGCCTCACCTCCTTCCTCACTGCCTCACCTCCTTCCTCACTGCCTCACCTCCTTCCTCACTGCCTCACCTCCTTCCTCACTGCCTCTCCTCAATGCCTCATCTCCTCCCTCACTGCTTCACCCCCTTCCCTCATGGCCTCACTCCCTTCCCTCATTGCCTCACCCCCCTCCCTCACTGCCTCACCCCCTCCCTCACTGCCTCACCCCCCTCCCTCACTGCCTCACCCCCCTCCCTCACTGCCTCACCCCCCCTCACTGCCTCACCCCCTCCCTCACTGCCTCACCCCCTCCCTCACTGCTTCACCATCTGCCTCACCTCCTCTCTCACTGCCTAACCTCCTCCCTCACTGCCTAACCTCCTCCCTCACTGCCTAACCTCCTCCCTCACTGCCTAACCTCCTCCCTCACTGCCTAACCTCCTCCCTCACTGCCTAACCTCCTCCCTCACTGCCTAACCTCCTCCCTCACTGCCTAACCTCCTCCCTCACTGCCTAACCTCCTCCCTCACTGCCTAACCTCCTCCCTCACTGCCTAACCTCCTCCCTCACTGCCTAACCTCCTCCCTCACTGCCTAACCTCCTCCCTCACTGCCTAACCTCCTCCCTCACTGCTTAACCTCCTCCCTCACTCCCTAACCTCCTCCCTCACTGCCTAACCTCCTCCCTCACTGCCTAACCTCCTCCCTCATTGCCTCACCTCCTCCTTCTCTGTTTTTTTTCAGTTTACAAAGATCAGTTCTTTATTTTATCTAGCAACTTTTTTCTAGAATTTTAGAAAATGCAGTATTACTGATATTTAATTTTTAGGTTGGCCAAGTGAACCAGCCTGCGAGTCTTCGCGGAGTCGCAGTTTTAACTGTCGCCTCCTGGTCAGACCTCCAGATGACCAGGAGGAGACTATGGAAGAGAAACAACAGCGGGTATCCCAGTATGAGAATATGCAGGTAGGACTATTATGTGTGTGGAAGTGTACTTTCTTAGTTATACTTGATGGGGGTTTAACTTTGGCTCCTTTGTACCATCTCTGAAACATACAATGAACTGATGTTAAAGTTCTGAAGTCTATTGGGCTCTGTTATATCTGCATTTGAACTGTGCATGGAGTATAATTCCACATCTCTCTTTTTGCTGCATTCTATTTGTTAACTACTCTCCTTACATCGCATCAGGCTTGGATACTCATGTGCATGCGAAATAGGCTTACAGGTTCCGGAAGATGAGAGGAAATGTCACCACTGTGGAGAAATGCCAGACAGACCACTGGAACATTATCTAACACAGTGCTTAGTTACAAACCCATTAAGATTTTAACTTAGATTCAACAGAGCAGAAGAAATTGTTAAACACATATGGCAAAAACTTACTGAAGCGACCATACGAGTAATAAATACTCATACTCCGCCCAAGTAAAACAGAAACAAGCAACACTTAGTGGGCCAGCCAGAGGCTTAGGGCCCACGCAGGAATATCCCTGAAAAAAAAACTACTCAATTTCTCTAACTGCTCTCAATCAATTTTATATTTAATGCTGGTGTAGTGAGAGTGTGGCTGCAGTATGATATGTGAAAAGGAAAAATGTACTGCATGCTTACTTGAATTCAAATGTTGGTGCATTAAAATAAATGTAAAATTTATTGCTATTTTTGCTAATTGGCCTTCTGTCATTTCTTTTTACAAGTATACCTTTTAGTTACTAAAGTAACACTTTTCATTGAGCACAGAAAAAAATACACACTTATTAATTTAAGAAACCAAGTGTGCAGTGCCACTGTTGTTATAAGAGAATATGGCTGTTGTTTTATTATAACTACAGTAGTCTCTTCATAAATTTTTTTACACTTAACCGAAATGCTGATATAATATATCTGATAGGTAATTGCCACCAAACTGTATGAAACAACTGTAAGAAAGATGACAGAGTGGATAATTAGAACTTTTCAAATAAAAGAATCCAGACCAATGATGTGACTTTTAAAGTCACTTGTTCTCTCTAGGGTCTCTTATACTCTCAATAGTGTTGCACAATAATGGCCCCATTCAGTGCTAAAGAAATTGGTGATATGGAGGAATGTGTAAAGAACTTTTACTGTCCTAATCCACTCAATGAAACATCTAAATTATTGGGACTGCTTAAAATGTTTAAATCTGTATTCTCTTAGAGTGCAGGCAAGAGAGACAGATACATAATAATTTATAGTTAGGAAATATTAGGGGAACCGGTCCCAAATCGGCACATGGAAATGACACCAAATGAAACAAAAAGGCATTATCTTGAGATTATCTTGAGATGATTTCGGGGCTTAATGTCCTTGCGGCCTGGTCCTCGACCAGGCCTCCATCCCCAGGAAGCTTAACCCTTAGACCATGCATATTACCGCACATATTGGGGGCCTGGTAGCGAAAAATATTTGAATTATGTAAAAATAACTTAAAATGTTTAACAAATCTCCAACTTATTGGCTTCATGTTGTGAAACTTTCATCAAAATATTTTCAGAAATTGATTTTAGACGAATTTTTGAAAAATAAGAACGTTTTGTTGATAAGGAGAACAGCTCCTAATAACTGGAACTGAAGGATTATGCAGTAATAGAGAGATGCAAGCACCTGTCCTATGCTCAATGAAGAACAATAGTAGTAAGAAGTGTCCACAAAGTGGATATGCAGTTGGTGCCTTTATATCATTGCTGAGTAATATATAACACAAATAATAATGAATAACTATGTTAATATGATCTATTTTGTTATATATCATATAAATACATTGTCCAATGTTAATAAATTTTACTTTCATCAATGTCCCAAAAATATTTTTTTAGGGGATTTTTTTTTTAATAAATTTTAATTTTTTTCTAATTTGTTTATTATCTGATTTTGTTGTAACCTTTACATCCTGGAGAATGCATATGTTTTCATAACTATGTGAAAATAGAATGAAATTGGTCAACAAATAAATCAGTCACAACTTACAAAACTTGGGACTTAATTTTTTTGGCTGATTTTTTGATTTCAAACTATTTTCTTTGTCTCTTTAGGTTGTTTTGATGATTAGGGACCATATTAGGGCTTTTTCACTTATATAAAGTATACCCTAAATATATCCCCTAAATCATTATAATTATTATAATTATCCCTATATTTTGTTTTTTTGGGGGGTTATTTTTTCTTGACTTCATTTCAACACATATTGACCTACAACTTTCACATATTCGAGTACGAATGCCAAACAATGTTTATTAAAACATGGTTAAATTAACTAATTAAAACTACCTTTATTCATTGTTGATAACTTCAACTTCAATTATCTCTGAAACCAGAGTTTCAACTTTGAGTGGCTTCTAAAATTCCAGTTTTTGACCGATTCTCACTATTTTGACATTTGTGTGCTCAGCTGTCTGTTCTACAATCCCTTTAGAATGGATTTTTCATAAAATTTATACATTTGGAGTTATAATTTTTTTTGGTCTAAATTTGTCACGTATTTCAAATGCCCTATTCAATACTTACTGTAAAAAAAAATTGTCTGCATATTTCAAATACGTGCCATATTGATGATTTTTTTTCACAGTAAACAGTATACTGAAAACCTATATTCTAATTTGATGAAAATGAAGATCATCTGCTATTCTGAGAGAATAACAACATTAAATGAACAATTGGTGATAGTTCATATTTTTTATTCTGAATTGAAAATCTGAAGTTTTCAATATTCAATTTTAAAATTAATTTTGATTCTCTTGTTTTTCAAGTTATGCTGTGATCATTTAGACAAAGTTGGAGCATTTGCCTAGTTGATTATGCAAAAAAAAATGGAAAGTGTTTGTGCAAGTTTTAAAAACTTATGTTAAATTATTTTTTGTCAAATCATATATGTATGTATTGCGCAGTCCAAGGGTTAAGAACCTTGGAACTAGCAAGATAACTGCCAGATTACTTTGAGCTGGTAATTGTTGTAAAATCACTGCTGAATACTGTAACTAATAGTATGTCATATTATTATTGCCATTCAATAGTACAGAACTTCTTGTCTATAAATTGCATTCTGCTTTTTTTCAGATTTCTGCTGTACTTTTGCCATCATATTTTGTGGATAAAAGTAATAGTGAATCCTTTGAAGGGGAAGGACAACAGTGCCTAGTTTGTTTAGTACGGCGAATTCCGCCCAACGAACGCATACAGGGCACACCAGTTGAACAGTTTACCACCAAACTGGATACTCAAGGCACTATAATTGCAATTGATGCAAGTGGAGTATCCTCCAGATACAGTCATTATATCAGTAAGGTGAGTTATATTTCCATTAAATTGTATCGATGCATTAGTAAAGGGAAAGAAAATAAACTTTTGGTTTTCTACTATCAAAGTTTTCCTCGTTTTTATTTGCTATATACAATACTATAACATTTTACCAGTTCATATTTCTTAGAAAGGATGACAGAGCACATCTCCTTGAATATATTTATTCAACTAAATACTGTAATAAATTAACAATTTATTTTAAATGTGCTTGCAAAAGTGATGCACAAATCATCTGGAATTTGGAACAAACTTATATACTGTGTGTAATTACCTAAGTGTAATTACCTAAGTGTAGTTACAGGATGAGAGCTACGCTCGTGGTGTCCCGTCTTCCCAGCACTCTTTGTCATGTAACGCTTTGAAACTACTGACGGATTTGGCCTCCACCACCTTCTCACCTAACTTGTTCCAACCGTCTACCACTCTGCTGGCAAAAGTGAATTTTCTTATATTTCTTTGGCATCTCTGTTTAGTTAGTTTATATCTATGAACTCTTGTTCTTGAAGTTCTAGGTCTCACAAAATCTTCCCTATCAATTTTATCAATTCCTGTTACTATTTTGTACGTAGTGATCATATCACCTCTTTTTGTTCTATCTTCTAGTTTTGGCATGTTTAATGCCTCTAACCTCTCCTCGTAGCTCTTGTCCTTCAGTTCTGGGAGCCACTTGGTGGCATGTCTTTGTACCCTTTCCAGTTTGTTGATGTGCTTCTTAAGATATGGGCACCATACAACTGCTGCATATTCCAGCTTTGGTCTTACAAAAGTTGTGAAAAATTTCTTTACTATTTCACCATGCATGTATTTAAAAGCAATTCTGAAGTTAGAAAGTTGAAAATGGTACACGGGTTGTTGAACTATCTAGGTAGTACAACAAATCTGTCAACGATATGCACTGTGATTGCTAAGAAAAAAGACATTATGAGTGCTACAGTGGCAAAAGGCATATCAACAATCCCAAAACAAGGAACACAAACACTTGAGGATGTTGAAAAGTTATTAATTTTGATACATAACAGGCAGTTAGCAGGTGATAGCATTTCAAAGGCCGTCATTTGTGAAAACGTAAGGCTATTGCATGAAGATCTTATAAAGAAACCCCCTGGAACGAGTGATGCAGATACGAAAGAGTTTAAGGCGAGTAGGAGGATGGTTTGAGAAATTAAGAAAGAGAAGTGGCATTCACAGTGAGTTGGTGGAGGAAGACTGCGAAGAACTGACCACCAAAAAACTCCTAGCCTTTCACAAGAAGCAGCAACAAGAGGCAGTTGAGAAAATTTCTTCAGTGGAGGAGGAGGCAGTACAGAATGTCCCTTCCTCAACAATTCAACAACTCAACAAGTGGTGTAGACTTTGGGAAGAAATGCAAACTTTTGTTGAAACGACTCGCTCACAGCAAGCTGAAGTAGCCCGTTGTCATAACTTTTTTAATGACACTGTGATGCCTCACTGCAGATAAGTGTTACAACATAGGGAAAAACAAGTCTCTATGGAAAGGTTTTTAGTGAGAAAAACAATCAGTGAGCCACAACCAGGCCCTAGTGGTATGCAGGCAAAATGTAGGAGAGAGAACCCCAGAGAAGTCATCAGTGCCTGATGTTATAATAGAAGGGGATGCCCCTTCCAAACACTAACACCTCTCCTCCTCCTCCCCTCCCCACCTCCTTACCATCTTCCATACACCAACAAGAGTCATCAATAAAGGTAAGCTATAACTTGTACATATTATAGTACTAAATATTTGTGTTTATTAGGCATGAAATTAATTTTGAAGTTAATATTTTTGGGAGTATGGAACAGGTTAATTCAATTTACATTATTTCTTATGGGAAAATTCATTTCGGGTTGTGAATTTTCAGGTTACAAACTGTCTGTGGGAACGGATTAAATTCGTAAATGGAGAGGCCACTGTACAGTATGTATGTGTATGTATGTGATTATATCTGATTATATATATATATATATATATATATATATATATATATATATATATATATATATATATATATATATATATATATATATATATATATATATATATATATATATATATATATATATATATATATATATATATATATATATAATATATATATATATATATATATAATATATATATATATATATATATATATATATATATATATATATATATATATATATATATATATATATATATATATATATATATATATATATATATATATATATATATATATATATATATATATATATATATATATATATATATATATATATATATATATATATATATATATATATATATATATATATATATATATATGTTTGTGTGGTATATAATATATTTATATTTATTTATTTATATTTATTTATTTATTTTTACATCCAGAATCAGGGATACACATTTTGTGTGTTTTTCTATACATTCATGACTATTTTTTCCTGTTGTAATCCTTCATAAGGGTTGATCACTTCAGTTTTTCACATTTACCTCGTACGTTTGCCTCCCATTGTATTACTAGGTATTAATTAACCTTTTTTCATTAGTGTAACTGAGGTAACACTTCACAAGTCTTTTATTTTTATTGTCTAAATAGCTGTTGATATTCTTTTATTGTTACATATGATTATAAATTCTGATTCTGTATTTAGGAATTGTTTGAAGTTCACTGTTAGACTTGAACTAAGCAGTACCCCCTACAAGTCTAGCAGTAAGGGGTACACTGGAAGTTACTCGCATAAAATCAGAATACATAAGCAGAAAATTTGTGAAACTTGTGAATGAGTTTATGTATCACAGAGTAATGACTAGTCAGGATAGTAATGGAAAATTAGAGTTTGAAACTAAGGTAAGTAAATTAAGAAGTGTAAATTAAGAAATGTGTTGTTTGTTTAAGAAGTGTTTTCAAGGACATTAGTGAACTTAAAGAAGTTATGTGAGTAGTGTTACAAAAGTCTGCAGTGATTAATTTTTATGCCAATTTTTTTAGACTTAAGTCTCTTCCACACAGATGAGATAAAAATAAGAAATGTAAAGGTAAGTTATTCATGCAGAATGGTGTAAATTACTGTTGAAATATAGTTAAAGTTAATAGTATATGTTTAAGAAAAACATGGTATGAGGTCACCAGAAACGAGAAGGAAAAAGTACAGTACAGTACTGTAATTTAAATTACCTCGACAAAGTGGCAAAGTGGTATGCATGTAGTGAGAGAAATAGTAAAGAGTATGACTGATAGTGTGCTTAGAGGATAAAATAATTGATAGCTATTGTGAATGAATAAGTGCTGGGGCTATGAAAATTACAACATGTCAGGAGAACTTGAAGTGTTTTGAAGTGAAGCATAGGTCTTACTAAGGGACACAGCTTTGAATAGTGTATAATAATGGAGGGTGGAATGATTTGCTCTTTTTGGTTCACAGTAATTCAGACATATGTGAAAATACTCAGAGGCTATATTATACACACACAATTCTCCTTATTTCACATATAAATTGGAGTCATATATTCATTTGAATTGAAAGAGAAAGTATAGAGTATAATTGGTGAAAATATTAAATGAGTTAGTTTCAAGTCTGTATATAAACATAGTCCTGCACTGAAATGAGATGTGGTAGACTGCAAAACACCTGCATTTAAATTTTTTTACCCTTACAAGTTAATTAAATGTATAAAGAAACCACCACATACAGCTGCTGATAATTTTTTATATGTTACGACAACATTTGAATAATTAATTGTAGAATTCGGTGTGTTGGTTTGGCTAATTATCATATAAAAATAATTAGCCATTTGTTTCCAATAAACAATTAAGTATAAAAAACTATAAGTGCAACTAAAGCTAACATATACAGTATGTATATGTTATACACACACATGTTATATGTTATATGACATATACTGTATATACTGTATATGTTATACTGTATAACATATAACAATTCAGGAAATGCCAAAAGAGTTAAGGGAAACTATTATAAATTTAAATGAGTTTTTTATATATATAATATAGCAGGTTGCAAATTTTACTGCATTGTGAATGTGGCCATAGATACAGAAGAAATGGAGAGTTAGGAATTATTCAATTAACTCTCCAAATTATACTGTTTTTGGCAACTAGTAGTGTCAGCTGTGCATTGGCTGATTGAATGATAACTGTTTTGTCAAAATGTTTTAAAATAAATATTTTAATTCAGCATGTGGAATTAAAGACCTATAAACTTGTCTACTTGTCATGTAACTTTACACTTGTATATGGTGACAAAGTCATTATTGTATCAGTGTGCTGGTCTCAAGTTAAAATCATTGCTGAAGAGGCAGTGTTAGCAACTTATTTAAGCTAGCTTATAGCTTATATTCCCTCTGGCTTGCCAAATAAATTTTAACTGGTTCACAAATATCCAGCGAAATAAAGAAGATATTTTCCAGTCCTTCCTGGTCAGTTATCTTGAGGTTATCTTGAGATGATTTCGGGGCTTTTTAGTGTCCCCGCGGCCTGGTCCTCGACCAGGCCACCACCCCCAGGAAGCAGCCCGTGACAGCTGACTAACACCCAGGTACCTATTTTACTGCTAGGTAACAGTCTGTGGTAGCTGTTCCAGAACTCATGAATGGGTTGATTTTTAAGTCATATTTTGACCCTGCACTGTGAGTAGGTAGCTTTGCCCTTGTTAGAGGCCTAGTTCGTAAAAAAACTTTTACATCTTCACATTTAATTTTTGCAGGAAAGAATTGGCGAACGCTTCATAGAATTGATTCCTCAAGGGGACGTTGGTAAGGTGACTGGCCACCTGAAAGAAACTTTGCAGTCTGGGCACGCTACCTCACAAGTGTATCGGGTTAAGGTAAAAATGCTTAAAATAAATAAAAAATAAGTAACGTCTTGTATGTATTGTCAGAATTAGTTAAGAGAGATCATTTTATTTATATGAAATGACTATCTTCATTATGAGTTGAAAATGTAGTGAGTGATATAATACAGAAAGAAAAGAATGGTGATGAAAATAAAGAAAAAGTGGGTAAGGAAAAAGTGGTTGATTCTCTTAGGAAGAAATAGCTTTTGAATTCACCATCTTGTTTACTTGTTCTCATTTTAGCACAGGAAACTATGTTGACTTGAATAAAAGAGTAAAATGATGTTACTTTTGGATTTAACATAATTTTGATTTTAGAAGGAGATTGAACAAAATGTTCAGCTAAAATTTAAATAGTATTAGGAATGATTTTATATGAGGGGGTTAGAAATTTATTTTGATGTACTGGTACAGTATTGGCAAATGGCTAAAGAGAGAGTTACGTTTTGTGAACATAAAGAAAATATGCAGAACAAGAGGGAATGGTGGGGGGGGGAGGGAAGACAAGATATTTGGGCTTGTTAAACAGTTATGAGATGAGAATTATGGAATACAGTTTAAGTCTTTCTCTCCAATGTAAGAAAGTAAATAAGCATAAGCTTGTGAATGAGATGAAGAGTTGGGAAAGCATTTGAGTGACTATTGAAAGAGCATTTTATAATCATGGCAAAGTTGATGGGTGCCAGATCATAATTATTATCATCATAACTATTGCCATCACCATCATCATTGTTATCAATCATCATTCGTCCATATTCTCTTTTTCGTGGTGTGGGGTGGTAATAGCTTGAAGGAAAATAGAAGAAGAATGTAAGTAAAGAAGATCAAGGATACTTAAAAAAACACTCATCCATTCACTATATTTTCCGTGCTAACCTTCCACACTTATTTTTCCATGCTAGCGTTCTATGCCAACCTTCCACACTAGCCTCCCATGCTAGCCTTCTATGCTAGCCTTCCATGCTAGCCTTCAATGGTTGCCCTCTACACTAGCCTTCTACACTGGCCTTCTACACTGGCATTCTACACTAGCCTTCTACACTAGCCTTCCACTCTACCCTTACATAATAACCCTACCCACTAGCCTTCCACATTAGCCTTACATGATATGCTAACCTAGCACTTTATGGATGTTGAGTGACTGAACAAAAGTAGTTAAGCATTAGATAGCAAAAGTGAGTGTGATAGCAAAAATGTTCTTGGATAGTACATCACGTAGATTGTTTCGTGGTTCCCTGCACAGGTCAAGTACATATTACAAGGATTTAGGAAAAGTCTTTGGTATTTAGATGAATCTGCTACATCTGCTACATCTGTAGCAAAACATAATTCCTAACTTTTGTTTCAGATTGGAGCAGATCGTTCAATTCGTGTGCAGACAAAATCTAAATTTTTCCGTGACACTGACGGGACCCAGCCAGAAGGAAGTTTCATGATGGCAACACATTCTATTATTGGGTAAGTTCTCAGTGTAATAAAGAGCACTTAAATGTCATTAATTTAAAGTGCATTCTTAATAGTTGGTTAAATTATTTTTATTTTAGTACTGTACAGTATTTTAAAATCAGTTTTGAGCTTTCTACATACAGTATATGTGAATAATATTTTTTATACCTTTACTTTTTTGTTTAGGAAAATTATAGAAAACAAACAAGCTCTTGGTACAGATAATTCTTACTGAAGTGTAAAAGCAAGACATTATAATACTAAACTTTAAGTGTCTCGATTATTGTTCCATATAGAGAAGTAAAGGGCATACAATCCAACCACAGAGAATTTAGTTAACTGTATATACTATTTATTACTGGTCAAGTCAAAGTACAGTGGAACCTAGATTCAAAAAACCTCGATTTGGCGAATCGAGGTTTGTTGAATTGAAACCCCCCCCCCCCCTTCTCTGCCCCCTCTGTGAGGGGGGGGAGGGCTGGTTCTGGCTCATGCCACAAGTAGGCCAAACAGGACTCCTGCGACTGTTTGACCCCAATAGTGTGGACCACCTCAATGAGATTAGCTTCTTGGAGCTACCAGGGCTCAACCAGACAGGCGTTTCATTATATTCAACTCTGGTGATTTCTCTATATGATTCTTTACTAATTAGCTTTTAGTGTCGGTACATGGTTCAGTTTGACAGTTTCATTTACTGCATCTCCCACACAAAATTTAAAGTCTGCTGTGTAATTAATTATTGAAAGGTTACCAGGTTATCCATTTGGCTTAGTTTTACAATTTATATGCAGTATTATATTAAATATAAATGTACAGTATTTAACAATAGTTTTTACCTTATGCAGGCCTTTCCAAGAAGGTAATGGGTCATCAACAGCAGACAGATTGCTTGCTGGAACTTCTGGCAATGGAGGATCAGTACTAGATGAATCTTTATCTGGGCGACCAAGTAGTACGGGAGGAGCGGGAGATGACTCTGGTGTGTCCTCCATTGGTGATAATACCAGGCTACGAAAACTGCTCAGTCATAGTGAAAGTAGTAATGATTTGCCTTCAGATAACTCAAATAAAATCCTGAAGGATCTCCTCAACCAAAAGGATGAAGATGATACCCAAGGGGCAGTAGTTGGTGGTGTAGGCGATGGAAATAGTACCTTAGAACGGCTAATGTCACGAGTTCCTTCTCATCATGATTTCAAACCCAATGCCTCCTCATCGCCAGCAGTAAATTCCACAGCAAATAATATGTTAAGAGAGGTAATATTTTGGATTTTATTAATTGATTCTAACATGTCATTCTCCAACTTGGTTACTTTGATTTCTTTTGGTCATTATTGTATATTTTTTAGTGTTTGATAAAAAGTATTCAATAATTGAATACATTCCTTTATCAGTCAGTAGTCAAAGACAAAACATTTGTACCACTTAGATGGTAGGAACATGATTAAATTGCCACAATGTGTCTTACAGTCCTGAATTGTTTTCATACATAATATTTATAGCATAGTCTTGCCAAAATTAATTTCAGTATGATTAATTGGCTTCTCACTTATGAGCTTTCTGACAAATTTCTGTATCAGTAAAATTTATATAATCTCATTAAACAGGTAGGCAGACAAATGTTATAAAAAAATCTAGTAACCTTTTAGGAAATCACCAATAATAGCAGTGGCCTCTTTATTTAAACCCAAATATGTGTTCAAATTTTCTGTTTACAGTGGTTTTAAATGCTTAAATGCTTTTGCTTATATCCAGAAGTTTCAGATGTGAATCACTTTGTAAATCAATTAGTTTTGATAAATGTGGAGTTTCATTTAATTGGAATAGTAGTGCACAGTACATGTCAGAAGATTGGAATTTTTATTAATTTATTAAATTCAATACCATTGAAAAGATTTTGTCATGAAATCTTTACATTTACAGCTTTTGAATAATGATGACGATGACACCGATAATAGAAAAAGTAGTGATGATATATGGGATCTACTAAATGACCCCCCAGATGAAAAGAAGCCAGACATAACTTCTGATTTCCGACAACCACAAGGCCCTGGAGGAAGCTTACAGTCTGCGAATTCCACTTCTTCATCACCCTCTTCCCTCAGTACCTTAACGTCCTCATCATCTAGTATCCCCCAGTCTACGAATTCTGGCATTCCTCCAAGACCGCGTAGTGCAGACATGTTGTCTGCATCCAACATGTTGAGGGGTATCAAGCGGCCTAGTGATGAGGCTCATGATGGCAATCCTAGCAAACAGGTAACTGGATAACTGTGAATTGTTGCAAAATTTTCAAGAATTGTTATTTTCAACATTTAGTGCTAATTTGCTTGAATTTAATGAGCAAACAATTTGTTTTGGATTTGTACATTTTTCAAGCAATAATGATATATTGAGCTGTTTATTTAATATTATAATTATAACAACAGATGATGGGTGCATTTGAAAGTTTGTTGGGTCCATCACCACCTGCTAGCTCTATGAGCCCTGCACCAGTCCAACATGGAGGCCCTCCCACACCTCATGGTGGCCCATCAACACCTCATGGAGGCCCTCCAGCTCCACATGGAGGTCCTTCAACTCCACATGGACCCACAACCCCTCATGGCCCTCCAACCCCTGTTGGGAACAATACTGGTGGAGGTATTGGTCATGGAGGTTCAGGAGTCAGTCCAAATAACCAGGGTTCTTCAAAATTGTGGGAAAAGAACAAGATGCTTGCCTCCCTTTTAGCCAAGGGACCTGTCCATATGAACCAGGTATGTTACTTCTTTTTATATTTTTGTATATTCATATCATTAAAGGCTATATTGAATGCTGTGTCTTTAAATTTTCAGAGAGTAAGTTTATATAAAGATTATAGGAAAAACCTGTAGTCTTTTTTTCTTTTTTTTTATAAATTTTATGATGTGTATGATGGATTCTTGCACTCCATATCTTTTCCTGACATTTACATTTCTTCATCTCCAATTTTCTTTTTCTTCCTGAATTTTCCTGTATTTATTCCCAAATTTTCAGGTTCACACCACTCCAGCATCTCTCACCCCCTTATGTAAGGGTTGGTACCACCATTCTTGAGCCAGCTCTCTGGATGCTTCTCATACTATCTTGATTTTTTTAATGGTGGATTTTATTATACCAGCCACTTACCTTTCCTGGCTCAACCTAATCTCTGCTTTGATTGCCTAAACATGCTTTTATAAAAAATACTTCTCTGGCATTTAAAGTGATACATATATCACTTTTAGCTTCCCATAGATACAACTAAGTAAACGCTACCACTACAACCGCTGCAAATGTAACCACTAGCACTCTTATGTTCATTGCATTCTGTTACGGCCTCACTTTGATAGTAACCGGCTTCTTTACTTACCAACTGTATATGGGGGGCTTAGTGCCTCTTCTTATTCGATCCCACCCCAAGTCATAGGTATGCTATTAAGAACTGGCAGTAATAGTCAATCTAAAGGAAAAGGGGGTAAACCACACTAAACAGAACCATCACCAAGTGTACTTCTTAACTATATATACACATATGTGCATGACATAACACTGCAAGTGTCACTGTTGCACAGGACATTATAAAACTTCTGCAATCTTCTTTCCCGGCAAGTCTACTTCTATCTTCTATCGTACACAACTCAAGGTTTCCTCCCTAATTCTGTCTTCTATGGTCCTCATACCAGCGAGTTCACCTTTCTCAGTAAATCATGGACCAGTCCTACACAGTATTGTTGCGGTGCCAAAACACCATTTCTACTCTCCAGCAACACACTAGCAGAGGTTGTTCAGCATCCTCCCAGCGAGCATAAGAAATATTGTGGGAACAACCGTGGACATCTTCAAGAGAAAACTAAATTGTTTTCTAATAGAAGTACTGGAGCAACCGGGCTGTGGTGGGTATGTGGGCCTGTGGACCGCTCCAAGCAACAGCTTGGTAGATCAAACTCTCGCAAGTTAAGCCTGGCCTCGGGTTGGGCTTGGGAAGGAGAAGAATCCCAGAACCCCCCATCAAGCAGGTATCAAGCAGGTCTCCAGCAACACACTGGCAAGGGTCTCCAGCAACACATTGGTAGGGGTTTCCAGCAGTGCACTGGCAGGGGTTTCCAGCAACACACTGGCAAACTTTCACACAATCTTCAGTTATAACAAGCCTTAACAGATGGACATTGATTCCATCTCGTAACTCAACTTGGCCATCCCGGGGTGTGTCGGTCCAATCACCAATACTTTACTAAGTATCATAGTCAAGTCACAGTCTGCACCAGAAAATAACATGATGTTTAACAATGATAAATTCCAGGTACTCAGGTATGGTAAAAATGAGGACCTTAAACATAATACAGGGTACAAAACACAATCAAATGTGCCCATAGTAGGAAAGCAGCATGGAAAGGATTTGGGAATAATGATGTCTGACGACCTAATGTTTAGGGAACATAACCAAGCAAATATTGCATCAGCCAGAAAAATGATCGGATGGATTATGAGAACTTTCAAATCCAGGGATCCCGTTACAATGGTTGAACTATACAAATCACTTGTACTGTCCCATCTTGAGTACTGCTCAGTACTCACTTTCCCCTTCAGAGCAGGAGAGATTGCTGAAATAGAGGGAATACAGAGAACATATACGGCATATATAGTCGCAATGAAGCACCTAAATTATTGGGATCGTCTCAAAGCTCTCCAAATGTACTCACTAGAAAGAAGACGAGAGAAATATCAAATACTGTAATATACACGTGGAAGATATTGGAGGGCCAATTACCAAATCTACACAGTAAAATAACAACGTACTGGAGTGAACAATATGGAAGAAAATGCAGAATAGAACCAGTGAAGAGCAGGGGTGCCATAGGCACAATCAGAGGACATTGTATAAGCATCAGTGGTCCACAGTTGTTCAACACCCTCCCAGCGAGCCTAAGAAATATTGCCGGAACAACTGGGTACATCTTCAAGAGGAAACTAGATTGTTTCCTCCAAGGAGTGCCGTACCAACGGGCTATGGTGGGTATGTGGGCCTTCGGGCCACTCCAAGCAACAGCCTAGTGGACCAAACTCTCACAAGTCAAGCTTGTTCTCGGGCCGGATTTGGGGAGTAGAACTCCCAGAACCCCATCAACCAGGTATCAACCAGGCATCTGCAAAGGATGACACTAGGGTGGGTTTCGAGCCCAGTTTCAAGAGAAACATTTTGATATGATTGAATCATTTGCAGTGTGTGTTTTGTTGCTTTGTTTTTGTGAACAAGAAGTTGTCTGTATTCCTTTGTCTACTTTCTGGATGCTTTCTCAGTGTAAATCCTAACAATCCCCAGCTCTCTCTGCCTCTATGAAGAGATTAGGTTCTGGCTCTGGTCTCTGGTAGTCCAACAGGACTCCTATGATTGATTTGACTCATTAGTGGGTAGCTATCTCAGCAATATTGCTTCAGGGAGCCACTGTGGCTCCCTTTCTGAAATAGGTATTTTATTACAATCAAAGCTGGTTTTTTTCAAAGCCTTTTTTTAATGCTATATTATCATCTGGCAAGCTTTTTATTGTTGCATCTCATTCTGTCTTGCTTTTCATATGCTTCATGTGTGTTGGGATCTGTAACCCTCATCTGCACATTGTCTACTCATAAGCATTCTTTATTCAATGAACTTCTGAGTATCCTGATGATATAATTTTATAATTTCTTAAAGAGCCAGCCTCCATCACAACACTTAAATCCACAAGGCCTACCCCAAGAGAAGCTTCCAAAGGACTTGGAGAAGAAGTTGCAGACCCCCGGTCCTTGGCAGCCTCCAGGGCGTAATCAATCCGAGATCCTCAATCAGTTACTTATCAAGGGAACCAGTAGCAACCGCTCTAATGTGAAGGTCAACACTTCTATGGGTAAGTTTTCTTCTAGTTGCTGCAAAGTAAGAACTATTTAAATAAGTTCTATTCCATTCTACATATACCATACCTGAGTTTACCTAAATTGTTTCTGGGTAGCAATGTCCCCTTGGCCTGATTTTTTATTATGCCTCCTGGTTTATTGTTTGGTCAACCTGGCTATTAGATGCAGCTGTTCATAGTCTGATGTATGAGTCACAGGATAGTTGATCAGATATCCTTTGGAAATGTTTAGCTCTCTTTTTGAACACTGTGAGAGGTTGGCTAGTTATGCCCCTTACATTTAGAGGGAGAATGTTGGAAAGTCTTGGGCCCAAAATGTTGATAGAGTTCTCACCTAACCTGTCTATTGCACCTCTCCTTTCCAACAGGGATATTTTGCACTTTCTTTCCATGTCTCCTGGTCTCATGAGGAGTTATTTCATATGCAGATTTGGAAACAATTTCTCTAATATTTTCCCAGTGTACAGTGGGAAATAGTTTATTTCCCCAGTGCATCTAACTGGATTTGAGACTGGCTGCACTGGTCTATTGCCCATGGTTGTCTGAACTTTGATTAGGTTGTGATCTGAGTCACATGCATTTGTGATCATTACGTTTCCATGCAGTTTTTCATTGTTTGTAAACATGAGATTCAAGAGTTCAAGTACATTTATTGAGACAATACGATACATCTCAAAAGGATAGAGTAGCTTTCTCTATCAGGAGTATCAGTAAGATTCAAGTGTTTTCTAGTTATCTCTACTATTTGCTAGATTATCTTCCATTTGCTAGTTTAAGGAAAATCTGTCACACATCCATAAGATGTCATTTGTTTGTGACTGCTCAATTTAGACAGTTTCCAGGGATTCTCTCTAATTTAACTGTATTTGGTACATTTTTCCAATTTAAATGCCATAAATTGAAGTCACTAAGTCACTAGGATGGTGTTTGGGGTTAGGTTTATTAGGTTTTTTAAGTTATCATTTTCTTGTCATTAGTTGGCATTTAAACTGTCAAGAATTTGTATCTAGTGACCTATATAAAAGGACAATAACCACATTTAGGATTTCAGTAATTATTATCAGCACTTCCTCCATATGTTTTGCAGCTCGGTGCAAATGAGTTCATTTTAATGTGCATGCTGGCTTTGCCCTGTATGCTGTTTCTCGTCTCATCTGAAAATATTGTACTCCAGTATCCATATTTCACTATCGTAGTGAAAATATAGATACTTCAGACAATAAGTCACAGTAACTAGGCTGAAAATTAGACACCCATCCCATAAATCTGAAAACAGTGGATGTTTCGGTATGTCCTGGACCATTAACAAGTTGTGTAATGGAAATAAATAGTGGAGAAAGTCAGTTTATTAGGTAGGAGAGGGAGGGAGGTAAAAAGGCAAGAAAATTGAAATATAGGAAAGGTAAGATGCATAGGAATTGGTAAGATGAATAAGGAACAAGATAGAAGTGTGGAAAAAGGTAAGATTGAAGTATTGGAAAAATGTAGAAGAAAGGAATGAGGTTGAAGTATTGGAAAAATGTAGAAGAAAGGAATGAGATTGAAGTTTAGGAATAAGATTGAAGAATAGGAATAAAGAAAAATGCCGGACAAATAGCAAAGAGAATATGGTGGAATAAAGACAAAAGGGTTTGCAACATAATAGGCAAAAAACGGAAAGAGAGTTGAAGGTACAGTGTAAAGATCATGCTTGTTAAGAAAGTGAGAACATTTCAGTATGTATTGAGAGACAAGTGTCAACAGCAACAAATGCAGGACTAAGGTTCATGTTTGGTTCATGTTGTATACAAGACCCTAGACAGCATTTGTGAAGAAAATAGAGGCAGAAAAGATTATTTTAATCTTTAAATTAATCTGTAGGATTATTAGCTGCCTTAACATGACAGAAGCAGCCCGTCCTCCAAAAATGGGGAGGTAAATGTAACAGCCCCATAAATGCAATTACAGTGGTACCTCGGAATGCGATTGTCCCTGTATGCGAGGTTTTCGGAAGGCGAGCAGTATTTACTCCAAAAATTTGTCTCAGAAGGCGAGGGTTACTTCGGGACGCGAGTTTGTTGATACGCGTACAGGCGGACCTAGCGCGTGGTGGTTCGGCGATCGTCGCCCCTCCGCCCCGCCGCCCCTCAGTTTACCATTGTCTCGCGCTCAGTGACTACCCCCCACATCAATTCTTCTCGCGGATTTTCAGTGTTTTGTTGGATTTTTGGTGATTTGTCTATACAATTTGTTATTATATATCTCACCATGGGTCCCAAGAAAGCCAGTGGTAAGGATAAAGGCCAGAAAGCTCATGTGAGGATGACAATAGAGGAGAAACAAGAGATCATTCGGAAGCATGAGAACGGTACACGTGTTGTTGAACTTTGTAGACAGTACAACAAAGCCACATCAATAATATGCACTATACTTAAGAAGAAAAATAAGATTATGGGTGCTAAAGTGGCAAAAGGAGTAAGAACATTAACGGCACAAAGACCACAAATACTTGAAGAAGTGGAAAAGTTGTTATTAATTTGGATACACGACAAGGAGTTGAGGGGTGATAGTGTTTCGGAGGCCATTATTTGTGAGAAAGCCAGGGTGTTGCACGAAGACCTTCTAAAGAATACCCCTGCAACGAGTGATGCAGATAAGAAAGAGTTTAAGGCAAGCAGGGGCTGGTTTGAAAAATTTAGAAAGAGAAGTGGTATCCATAGTGTTACAAGGCATGGGGTTATGTGATGTGATTATGGAAGGGGACTTCCCTTCCAAACAGTAACTCCTCTCCTCCTCCCCCCTCCTCACCATCTTCCATACGCCTACAGCACTCGACAGCAAGGTAAGTAATAACTGGAACACAGTTTTGTAGGTTTATTTAGATGAATTAGGTAAATTAGGTATAAAAATTTAGTTTGATGTGGGGTTTTTGGGGTAGTCAGGAACGGATTAATTCATTTCCCTTTATTTCTTATGGGGAAATTAACTTCGGAATGCGAGTTTTCGGAAGGCGAGGCGTCTCCAGGAACGGATTAAACTCTTATTCTGAGGTATGCCTGTATGTACTATGTTTGACAGTCAGGAATTGTACTTATTTACACTTAGTATTAAATCGTACTGTCAAATATATTGTGAATATTTGAGTTTACCTGAAAAGCTGAATAGAAAACCACGACCTAGCCTAACCGTCTTAGTTTTTGAAGACACTTAACACTTATTACACTTAGTATTAAAACATACTGTCAATTCGGAGGATGGGTTGACAGAAAAGCACATTGCTTGTATCTGCAAACTTAATACTTCTTTAGTGTTCTTTTAGTCTATCATTTAGTGTACGGGCCAGTTTTACCAAAGTATTGAAGGACAATAAGAACAATAAATAGTGTAAATATTTGATACGTGTAATCTATTTTAGTTTGAAGTATGGAAAATATTTTCGCAGTTCTTTGCAAATTACCTGCAGGAAAAGCATGAAAGTTGTTAGTTTTTTTATAGCAAAATAAACTGATTATGTATGCACATTTTCATATTTTTTATTAGTTATTTTATTTATGTTGTAAAATAACTAAGGAATGTTGAAAAATATGTAGGGAATGTTGAAATTGTCATAAACATTCATATATTTAGCACCGTCATGTGTAATGTATTATGAACATATGTTATTATGAACATATGTTTTGTTTTGCATCTTTACTCAAGTACATTCTTTTGCAAACATTTTGACACCCAATTTATAGTTATAACCCATAATCTAGCTGAGAGAATGTAAAATGTGTATAAACATTTTAGGCATCATTGAGTGGGACCTTGAGATGCCTGGAATGTTTATGGTCAGGTATATGCCAACGGGGCAGAATGTCAAAGTGTTAATTAGGGCATCAGAGTACAGTTCTGTATTGCATCTGCATACTTACCAAGATACATATATTTTTGTAACCACAAACATACCTTGATATAACCATCATAGATTCTTCATAGATTTCTTTTAACTATTTATTCCATAATTGATTGTTTAACTTACCGGTAGTACTGTAAAATCGTATGAAAATAAGCTTGCAGCTATTAATTCAATATGCTTAAAGCGAAAATAAATTATCTTACTCAAAGAAAGGTAATCTTATAAAGTCTCTCCCAGTAGTGTCATTCTAGATTACTAGCCAATCCATCATATATTGTTTTCTGTATGCTTATTTCTTTAATGCTCATCAGTTTTTGAAACATTTGCCAACATTGGAGAAAAGGATTTCCATTGGTTATGACTAACAACTTGAATAATGCAATTAATTTTGTTTACAGGTTCTGGTATGGGCATGAACCCACAGATGCATACATCTGCAGCATCAATGATGGGTGGTCAAGGTGGTGTTACCTCACAGGTTCACATGACTTCTCAACCAACCTTATCTTCTCAAGGTGGCATAGGAGTGAACAATCTTAACCTTAGTGGCACTGGACCTGTGTCGGCATCTCTTGTTGGGCGAGGAACTGTCGGTGGTGTTAGTGGAGTGTCAGTTTCACCTTCATCCATGTCAACCACAACCACAAATACACTGCCATCATTTAAGGCCTCAATGGGTCTTAATGTCTTGGATCCAGTAAGCAGTAGTTTTCCAGATGGTTCCTTACCATCCATTACCTCTTCCTTCACTTCTGTCCTACAAAACCACAACGATGATTTTCTACGAGAAAGTGTTATTAATGATATATTAGAGGTATGTATAATTCAATCATTGTACACATTGTGCATTGTCATTTGTTCCATATGTGTGTATCTTTCTGCATATCTGTCCTTGCATGCATTTGTCATAATTATTTGATTGTATTGAAAAGCATTGTTGTGCATGAAGTTTTTTTCCAAATATTGGATATTTATCTATATCAGTACTTAAAAGTTTGACTTACATTTATTTCTTGAAATACTTTATTTTTATACAGGAATTGTAACTTAAAATATAAGATGCTTACGATAAAGTTAATAGAGAAATGCACAGAAGTGATGAGCATGTTTGGAGGTGGCTGAGTTGTGTTAAATGCTGTGAAAAGTTTCCAAGTAGAAAGCAGTGTAATGGCACTAGACATGCTCATGTCACATACCACTAAGAAAAAAGAGAAATAGATGTAAATTGGAACAAAAATGGCACTCTCTTCATAGATGAAAAAATAAATCACAGAATTATTCAAATGGTACACTTTTTCTAATGAAGGACAAGGAAGGCTGTATAGAGAAATTGAAGTGATTTACATAAAACTGCAAGAATCATATAAAATTCAGGTGAAATAAATAGAGCAAAAAGCCCTTAGTGAAAGTGGAAGGGAATTCAAAATATTTCTTTTCTTGTGGAAAGTCTTCAGCAAAATCTACATCCAGTATTGGGCACTTATGCAAAGGGAATTCAACTTTAGCCGATAACAAAAGATGAGTGAAATACTAAGGTCACAGTATGACTGTTTTCAGTGCACCTCTAAATACACTGAAGAACAGCAACCCAAATGAATTTTTCATGAATGTGAACCCAACATTGACCAGTTTTCACAAGTCAAGCCTGGCCTTGGGCCAGGCATGGGGAGTAGAAGAATTGCCAGAACCCTATCAAGCAGGTATCAAGCAGGTATATTAAATGTCACCTTTACCTCACTGGACTTTGTTTGAAGTAGCCATAGACTGCATGCCCGTGCATTCTGCCTCGGGTACAGCCCTGAAGGCTCATATACAGCTCCATTTACAGCTCAATATTTATCAAAAATTAAAAACAAAAAATTTACCACAGGCCCTAAACATCATTTGGAGACAGCCTGGATTCTGGGGCTATTCTCGATGCACTTACAACTGAGACCACACTTCTCTAATCAAAGGGAGTATACTTCTCAATGCTCAAAGGGAGCATTAAAGTAGAAGCAATAATTTTAGACTGGTAGCACAAACATTAAACATCATAAAAAATTTGGTACCCGACAGATTTCTCACCAATTACACTTTTTGTTCTGCGAATGCCATTTTCAGTTAATGCTTGTTTTATCAGCATTGCATTCCTGAAATCAAACATCTCATGAATTTTCAAGTCATATTTTTTATTTTTGTGTTATTAAAGATAACTTTTGAATTTTTCAGATGACCAATATATTTCCTGGTGGATCATCATCACCAGATTTAGGAATAAACCCTGAACTTAGTCTGGATGATGTCCAACGTCCCCCAACGTCAACAGCGCATGAACTAATGGAGATACAGAAAATTCAGAATTCCCTTATGTCAGATATTGAGGCACAGACATCTGCATCAGTGACGGGTCCTGGAACTTTACCGCCATATACTGCTGTAGCTGTGAGTTGCTTTTATTGTTGTTTGAGTCTTCATACCATCATAACAAATATATTTTTACTGTGAAATCATATTGTACATACTGTAGATGATTTAACTAGAAACTGAAGGTGTCTAAACTCATATAGGTACCTTAACAGAAGGAAAATAAACACTATATATATATATATATATATATATATATATATATATATATATATATATATATATATATATATATATGCAACAATGATCACAAAAACACTGATCCAAGTATGCAGAATAACCACATGTGAAAAATAGAAAATGCTTAACGCGTTTTCGGCTAATTCGCCTTCATCAGAGCAAAGTAGAATCATTCTACTTTGCTCTGATGAAGGCGAATTAGCCGAAAACGCGTTAAGCATTTTCTATTTTTCACATATGGTTATTCTGCATATATATATATATATATATATATATATATATATATATATATATATATATATATATATATATATATATATATATATATATATATATATATATATATATATATATATATATATATATATATATATATATATATATATATATATATATATATATATATATATACATATATACATATATACATATATATATATATATATATATATATATATATATATATATATATATATATATATATATATATATATATATATATATATATATATATATATATATATATATATATAGGGGGGTACCACCACTGGTGTAATTATAGGGACCCACAGCCTCAGAGAAGGGAACACAGAGCACTCAGGGAAAAACTTGACATTTAACTCTGAATACGAAAGAGTGTTCACTTCTCCTACCACCCCCTTTTTTTTTTTATTATGATGTACACTTTATTATGCAAGGTTATACAGTTACATATCTGATTTTATACAAAAAATGAACATTAAGAGGACACAAGAAAAAGTTCGCTTCCTAGAGGCTGTAGATTTCCTCGAACTCCTCCGACGCCGGGCAGGAACCGAGGATGCAGCGGGCATTTCCCCTCTGGATCGCGACACTGAGGCGCTGAAAGAGAAAACTTGCTGCTCTAGGGTCTCTTGTGGTGTCAATGAGCTTGGAACCAAGATCCTTAAGAAACCTTCTTGCACTCTCACCCCATGGGCCTAGGGTCTCAGACCCTATTGGAACGAAATTGTACCTTTGATCTAATTGCCTGTACTTGACTGACTTTTGTTTTTCTCTGTGTGTCGCTGCGGCTCCTGCCGTGCCGGCAGAGAGGGTGATGTATGTCGTTGCCAGGGTGGATACGCAAGTATAGTCCCATGCTAACTGCCTGCCACCCTTCCACGGACGCAGTGTGATTCCGTCTGGTCGGCCGGCAAAGCTAACAGAGTCACGGTTCAGTAGGTTGTGGGGCTCTCTCTCCGCTGGACACTGAGCAGAGGCAAGGCTTCTTTTAATGATGTCGTTGACTTCGTCGTGTCTAGTGTGCCAACCACCCGATTTTCCACAGTGCAGGCCATGCAATCCATATTCGTCAGCATCTGCCTCGCCGCAAATACACCTGTGAACAGTGTGGATAGGGGCAGCAAGGCGGAGAGCGACTGCAATACGGAGCTCCTGCGGATCAAGACGTGTGCCTGTCGCAGACATAGGGACTGCCAGAAGGAAGTCCCCTGCATGGGGAGCCTGCACAGCTGTGAGGCGTGCACGATCACTGGGGGTTGTTGCTGCCTCCAGCAAAGCTGTGGCTTCTTTGTCTACAATGGGGCTGTCCCAACTGGATTGTTTCTTGGCTTTCGGCATGGCTGGTCTGAGTGCTGGGTCTGTCATGGCACCCCATTTCGTGTCACATTCCGTGTAGTGGGGGTCCTGTATCCCCGCTACATCACTCAGGGTGTCAGGTAGAATTTCCTTAACCAGGTCATCTGATGCTGAGGAGGAAGACAGGAAGGCTGGGACTGCAATTTGGGTGGCGGTGCGGACACCCAAGCCACCGAGCCTGACAGGAAGAGTGGCTTGTTTCCACTGGCATTCGTTGAGAGAGAGGTTAACCACTTTTTCCAGCATGGTCTTGAGTAGGAGGTCATACTCCTCAAGCTTTGGGTTGTTGTAAGATGGGGCGCACCTCAGAAAGTAGGTTAGCCTCGGAAGGGATAGGCATTTGGTGAGGAGATAAAAAGCATCGTGGGCATCGATGTCACCTATTCTGTCTTCCATCCTCCTAAGGTCTGCGATTTTCTTGTCGAGGATCTCCTCAATGGCGTTAGACCCGAGGGGAGCTCCAAGGAGGGTGCTGTTCTCGGCCCTAATGACATGGGCTCCAGGCAAGGCAGACCTTATTCTAGCTACGATGTCTGGGTTGGAGGAGACTACTTCACACTTGGAAGGGTTCAGGACGAGACCCAGGCTTACTTCTTGCTCCCTTATTTTCCTGATATCTGACAAGAGGTGGTCTACGGTGCCAGCTATAGTGCCATCATCCAAAAACCAGATGTTGAACTCGCTGGACAAGCTTTCGGTGATTTCTTTTAAGACTAAGCAGAAAAGAAGGGGAGCAAGAGGATCACCTTGCTGAACACCTTCACATGATCTGATTTCATGTTCACCAAAGAGCAGTTTTGACTCGCCACTGTAGCACGATAGTATGAACGGGTAGAGGGGCCGGAAATGGCGATGTACGGCACAAAGTACTGCATCTCTTCTTACCATGTTGAAGGCATTCTTAAAGTCCAGTTTGAGCAGGGCCTTTTCATCAGAAATGTTTGTGATGTATGCTCGTGCTGCATGGGCAGCCGCTTCACAGCCTTGGGGGATTCCAAATCCTAGCTGGATTGGTTTCAGCAATTCAGCCGCTTGCTGGCTGACAACCCTCGTAGCAGCCTTGGCAATCAGGCGTCGGAGAGTGTTGCCAACAGCGAATCCCATGGTAAGTCTTGTTGAAGCCGTAGTGGGAGAATGCTCCATGGGCCAGGTGTAGAATAGTGGGCCGCAGGCTGGTGGGAATCACAAGTTGTTCGGTGTTGGCCCAATCGTCCTCCTCCTTCAGTTTACTGGGTCTATATCTGCGGTAGAGCAAGTCGTTCTCTAGGAAGAACCCAGGAATACTGTCGGGTTGAGTCTCAGCCTGGAAAAACAATGGTGTTAAAGTAAGATCTTCCCTCTGCAACTTACGGAACTCCAACTTGGTCAGATGCGGGGGTAGTTTCTGAGGGTCTTGAGGGACAGCGGTAGCAGTAGAGTCAGCTGGCTGTGGACGTGCGGCTTGTGCACGGGTGGTCACGAGAACCGGAGGAGAAACTTCATCACTCTCTTGAACCTCTGCTGGAACATACTCGAGAATAGGATTTATTGGCACAGAGTTACACACCTGGGGTTTGTCCATGACGATCAGGTTGGTCGGTTGCAGGTCTTCTGCCAAGTCGTTGCCTAGGAGAAGTTGCACTCCAGGCATGGGAAAAGGCTTTTCCCTGACGGCGACTTGGACTTCCCCGTTCACGTAGGGACAATCCAGGTGGACTCTGGCGAGAGGGTATGGAGTGGTAGCAGTGAGGTCAGTGATGAAGACTGTTTCCCCGGTGTAGACTATGTTGGGCACAGCCGACTTCAAGATGATAGATTGTAGAGCCGCTGTGTCCCTCAAGATCTTCAATTTGAAACGTCCCTCCGGATTTGAACCGTTGGCAGAGACAGTTCCAGTATACAGGTGGTTACTGAAAAGAGAAAGATCATTAACATCAACACCAACATTCATCACAGGCTTACCGGACTTAGGAGGAGTTGGTTTGGGTCGTTGTTGGTCAGTGGTTCCCTTGTATTGAGACTTACCACACTTGTCTATGGTATGTCCATAGAGTCTACAATACTTGCAGTACAGTTGTGAACCAGCTTGATCGGGGCTCACCTTCTCGTAACTGTACCACGACTTCTTACTGGAGGATGGTTCAGGTGTCAGCCGGTGGATGAGGCTGTAAGTGTCAGCCGACTTAGCACACTTCAGGTAGTCGGTTTCTTCTTTATCTGCTAAGTAGAGGCGGACAGGAGGCGGCACACGTCTCAAGAATTCTTCAACAAGCATCAGGTTGACGAGTTCTGTAAAAGTAGAGACATGTGCTGCTTCCAGCCATTTCATGAAATACCTCCGTTTCGTGTTAGCAAACTCGAGGAAGGTAGTGGTACTTGCCTTCAGGTGGTCACGGAATTTCCTTCTATAACTTTCAGTAGAGAGGAGGTAGGCGTCCAACACTGCTTGTTTCAGAGTGTAGTAGTCATTCTCAGACGCCAAAGTACTGAGTGTGACTGCAGCTCTACCTGTAAGATGGACTCTGAGAAGTGTGGCCCATTGGTCGACAGGCCAACTGAGTTGATTAGCAAGGGTTTCAAAGGTGGTAAAGAACACATCAACTTCTGCTTCTACAAAGGATGGCATTAACTTACTTGCATGTGATATATTAAAACTGACGGGAAGATTGGCAGTAGCTTGCTGGCGTTGAGCGAGGTGTGAAGTTTCCAACGTGTATTCCCGTTGACGACACTCAAGAGCCAGAGTCGCTTGTTGCTTGTCATGTTCGTGTTGTATTTCCAACTCGCGTTGTTTGGTTTCAAGCTGTAAGCGTTCACGTTCACGGAGCATTGCAAACTCACGTTCCTTGAGGGCGATCTCTTCCCTTCGTATGGCAGCTGCTTCCCTTTGCTGTTCGCGGGCTTCCCTTTGCTGCTCACGTTCAATCTTAGCCAGCTCTAGTTTAAGTTTCATCGTTGCCAAGTCAGTTTTCTCTGCAATATAGTAAGTTTCATGAGTTTCAGAGTCTATCTTACCTTGCTCTAAATAGTAATCCAGCAACAGGTTGTGTAGGTCATTTTGTTGGCTTGGTAGGGAACTTCTAGTTGATACTCATGTGCAAGAGTTTGTAATTCAGTCCTCTTGGCACGACTTAAAGTCCCTATTTCACCTGCTGGATTTGCACGGAAAGTTTGGAGACGAAACATGGTGAAATTAGCAAATAAAGGTACACGAATGTTCAATAATGAAATGTCAGAAACAGGACAACGTGGCAACTGGTACCTATCCTGTGTGATCTTTAACAATTAACGTTAAGTGAAAGATATTAAATGATTAAATGAAATCAAGGGCGCAGGAAATCTTGTACCCGGTACTCATGTAAGAGAATAAGGGCAAGAAAATCCTACTAACAAATGAAACAAAGTTTCGAAAACAAATGAAACAGTTAAATGCTTCAAAAGTAAAATTGGTAGTCCAAGGATGTAGGCATACCTTGCCGAGTCTCTATAGGACATAAAGCAAGTTTTTCCCACTGAATTTAATATGATACTTACAGAATTAGCGAACTTTTGTGCTCTGAAAAAATAAGCTAATTCCCTACCGTTGTATGTATCATCATCTCTGACTGACGTGTAGGGGTGCGAGGTGTCAACTGGTGACGAGAACTGCTGCTGAGGTCCCAATTCAGCAACTAAAGTTCGAGCTAGAGGAACTATGGCCCTCTTTGTCCTCCTACAGTCAGATTGCAGAAGATTGGGTACTCTTGACCCGGGGCAGACCACAGTACCAGGGTACCAATATGATGATCTGTCAGAATGAGAAATATTCAAGGGACATAGATGGTAAACACGAGTAATAACAAGGAGGGAGAGATGACCAATTAAGAGTATGACTGAGGCCTACAGTCACCACGTAATCCAAAGTTGTCTCACCTTCACTATATGTTACTCTCGTAATGCACAATACACCGCACCTTATAAAAAATGAAATTGAATATGAAAAATAGTAAAGCTACGTTAACAAAGTTAAATACGCTTACCATAAATTACCACTTGGCACCAGTACCTGAGTGAAGCTCCTAGGACAGGCCCCCATATAACTTGTGACGGTAACGCGTTGGTGTTCGGCTGTTTAAGGCTAGGGGTATGGCCTCGTCACATAGTTATAAAAAAAAATAGAAAAACTGGAACTTCGTCTGTGGTAAGGTAAGGAGAAGACACACAAAACACAAGTAAAACTTTAACAATGAAATTTTAATTACGTTAAATAAATCAAAACATGAAAATATGGACAAACAAATATGTATAATAAAATCAATGAATCAAAATAATAAGAATACTTAAATGACACAATGAAAGTTACGTTAAGGCAAAATAATAAGAAGTGCAACACAAAAGTTAAGTGGGAGGTGCTGGAATATTGGCTTAAAGCCACCACCTCTCTCAGTACACGCTAGAGTCTAGCTGGGAGGTGTGATGGCCACGAAAGCACTGAACATTCTGAGGACTGATGTTGGGGCGACCCCAGACATCAGGTAGTATTGGGGGGGGCGAGGCAGGTGCAGCCAGACCGGCGACCAATCAGCGGAGCCGTAGCGATCAACGGGTAGTTTGGTGGTTGGAGTTCGAACAGGTGGCTGGTTGCATACGTTTTGCTCACCCTGGCAAGCCTTGCTGGTGTTGTTGTCGTTGTTGGACATTTCTTCCATAGTCTTTTTATATAATTGTGAAGACGTAATTATGGAGGGAAGAGCAGGCTCAATCTCTTGAAGGAGATTATCGTCACAATATATATATATATATATATATATATATATATATATATATATATATATATATATATATATATATATATATATATATATATATATATATATATATATATATATATATATATATATATATATATATATATATATATATATATATATATATATATAAATAATAATCAATTTATATACTGTACTGTATTTGTTTTAATGGTTAGTGGTGTTTGCTGTGTGGTATGGCAATGTCATGACAGGTTGAGCTATAAGGGGAGCCTGTAGAGTGCAGGTGGCAGCCTAGTCTGGTCATGGCTGGTGGTTGTAACCAGTCCATCTGGTGGGACACCTAGGTTGAGGTCAATCAGAAAGTCTGGCACTTGTAAAAAAGTCTGTCTGCTGGAAATAATTGTCAGAGGTAATGTAGATGACTGGAAGTGTTCCTCAAACTAAAACAGTTCTAACCCTAATGGACTTTGAAATAGCCATAGACAGCATGTCCATGTACTCTGCACCAGGCCAATATTTCTGTAATTCTTTATTCATCAAAAATTGCAAAAAAACACTATCACAGGCTGTAAACATTATTTAGAGATGGAACATAGATACTGGTGTTACCCCCAACATACTTATAACAACAGGGATCATGCCAACCCAAAAAGGAGGTAGTAAAGCAGGCAAATTTTTTTTAGACCAACATCACACATATTATAAAAATCTTTGAAAGAGTGCTAAGAAGTAAGATCAAAATGCATGGAATCACTTACTGGTGATGTAATATACACAGATTTTGCAAAAGCTTTTGGGAAAAGTGACTATACTAGAGCCAGTGAAGAGCAGAGGTGCCATAGGTACAATCAGAGAACACTGTATAAACATCAGAGGTCCGCGGTTGTTCAACGTCCTCCCAGCAAGCATAAGAAATATTGTCGGAACAACCATGGACATCTTCAAGAGGAAACTAGATTTATTCCTCCAAGGAGTGCCGGACCAACCGGGCTGTGGTGGGTATGTGGGCCTGCGCGCCGCTCCAAGCAACAGCCTAGTGGACCAAACTCTCACCAGTCAAGCCTGGCCTTGGGGCAGGCTTGGGGAGTAGAAGAACTCTCAGAACCCCATCAACCAGGTATCAACCAGGTACCCTTTCTAAACAGAAGGGGCTTAACTGGCCGACCTCTCACTGTGTCTGGCCGACCTCTCACATCAAGTGAGAATTTGATAAACTCCTCCAAAGAACACCAGATCAACTGGGCTGTGACTCATAAGTCAGACTGTGAGCAGCTGCATCTAACAGCCTGGTTGACCAGACCAATAACCTGGAGGCCTGGTCAAAGACCAAGCTACTGGGACATAGATCCCTGGAACTATCATTTGGTAGACAGCAGGTACCTTACGATAATTTTGGGGCTTTGCATTTCAGCGGCCCTGCCCTCGACCAGGCGTTCCCCAGATAGGGTTAACAAGGAAAATACTGTACAGAATACATGAAATAAAGGTTAACATTAGATTGCTAGAAAAATCTCTTGCTTAAGACATGTAAAAGTTCAATAAATATGGATGAATAGATTCATCTATATCAGGAAAACATTAGTTGAATAATGTTAATAATTGTTCATATTTGTTACAGTCTGTCCAATCACATGGGAGCTACCCACCACCTTATACCCAACGAACACGATTTCCAAGTGCAGGCCCAGCTGGGGGTCCAGGTGGAGGGACCAATATTGCGGGCCATATAAGTCCTGCAAGTATGATGCGACCCAGTTCTCAACAGTTTGCACCTGGAAGTCCAACAATGCCTTCTCGACCAACTATGAATAATCAGGTATGATTATCAAGTAACTTAATTTTTCAAATTAAGGGATTTGGGGAAATCCCCCAATTGGGGAAGCAAGAACATCATATGTAATTACAGAGGACTAGTCCTATTCATTGTCTTTTTTTATGTAAGGTGACTTACACTCTTATAATTAACTAAAACTTGTATAATAATGATAGATTAATTATACACTGTAAACCCTCTGTTTAAGAGCTGAAGGGGGTTTAGTGACTGCAGACAGTGGACAAGGCTAAAATATTTAAATATTGAAAAATAGAAACAAAATAAAAACACTGTACTCTCAAAATACTCTGGCTGATAGTAGCAAGATCGGTTCAACCTAAGAACTAAATCCTCGCAATGCTTGGCCAGCCCTGCTTTATTAGCTCTTCTTCACCTAGCCCTGCCTTGCCTAGTCTTGCCTTGCCTAGTCCTGCCTCACCTAGCCCTGCCTTGCCTAGTCTTGCCTAGACCTGCCTTGCTAAGCCCTGCCTTGGCAAAGAGTTGAAGTCACCAAATCATAGGATGCTATCTTTAATAGTTGTGGTAAAATTAATAAAAAAAATTAGCTTGCGTGACATACAAGATCAAGGTAGTGTATCCTAAGTACATTATTACCATTTATGTTCTGCAGTCACAGACTAAATGTGTCAATCTTCCAGAGTATTTATGAAAAAAACAGAATTGACAAACTATACTGGATTTGTGAAATTTCTAATGCTTATCCTCTAATGTTTCTGCATGAAATATCAGAGGTCCATGGTTGTTCAACATACTCCCAGTGAGTAAAAGGAATATTATCGGAACAAACGTGGACATCTTAAAGAGAAAACTAGATAGTATTCTTCAAGTGTCGGATTAACCGGGCTGTGGTAGATATGTGGGCCTGCGGGCCATGCCAAACAACAGCCTGTTGGACTAAGCTCTCACAAGTCAAGCCTGTCCCCAGGGTAGGCTTGGAAAGTAGAACTTCCACAACCCCATTCAGGTACAATCCAGGATTTACGAATTTTTGAATACTCTGTCCCGTCTAGAGTACTGCTCAATACTCGCTTCCCCTTTCAGAGCAGGAAAGATATCTGAAATAGAGAGAAAACAGAGAATATTAATGGCACGCATAGGCACGATAAACCACCTAAAGAAATGGGACCATCTCAAAACTCTCAAGATGTACTCTCTGGAAAGAAGACAAGAGAGGTATCAAATAATATTCAGTATACATGGAAGATATTGGAAGGCCAAGTCCCAAATTTGCAGAGTAGAATAACAATATACTGGAACAAAGGTACGGAAGGAAATGTAGAATAAAACCAGTGAGAAGTAAAGGTGCCATTGGTACAATCAGAGAGTACTGTCTGAACATCAAAGGTCCACAAGCATTACAAATATTGCTGGAACAAAGGTGGTGGTCTTCAAGAAACAATTAGACAAGTTCTTGCTAGAAGTACCGGACCAACCAGGCTGTAGTGGATGTGTGGACCTACGGGCAGTTGCAAGCAATAGCTTGTTGGACAAAGTTATCACAAGCTGAGGCCAAGCTCGGGAAATAGAAGAGCTGAGACCCTATCCAGATTCTAGACTCCAGATTCAGGGTAACTCATTCTTCTTGAAGATGGCAAAAATTATTAAAAATTATTTTTCTATGGAGGATAGGAAAACTCCTCACAACTGCATACTCAGAATTGTCAGTCTTGCAGTCTCAAAACTGTCAGCAAAGAGTCAGTACACGGTGTAGTGCAGACAGACTCGGTACAGACTGACCAAGAGAAACAAACAGAACAAAAACTCAAAACCCTGTTGATATTATAAATGTGGCATACAGTATATGTAAATATGAACCATTGGGAAGAACGAATGGAACATGCAAATAGAATCACCCAGGAAAATATAGAAATATTCTTAGCATAGGTAATTGTTCCAAAGTTGCAATTTTTTTCTCCCAGAAATATGTAAAAGTTCACTAAAAAGAAAGACTGCTATTACAGACTGCCCAGCTTTTCATACAAGAGGAATCAGGTGAATATAACTAAAAGAGTGGCATTATAAAAACAGCAACAGTTCTACATAAAAGGGAGACTTCTTAGTAAGAGAGAGGAGAAGAATTGGGAGCCGGTCGGCTGAGCGGACAGCACGTTGGACTTGTGATCCTGTGGTCCCAGGTTCGATCCCGGGCGCCGGCGAGAAACAATGGGCAGAGTTTCTTTCACCCTAAGCCCCTGTTACCTAGCAGTAAAATAGGTACCTGGGTGTTAGTCAGCTGTCACGGGCTGCTTCCTGGAGGTGGAGGCCTGGTCGAGGACCGGGCTGTAGGGACACTAAAGCTACGAAATCATCTCGAGATAACCTCAAGAATAGCTAGAAATGACAAAAAATTATCACCAATTCAGTCAATGCTCTAGACAGGACATAAGTACCATGGCACCTTACCAGAACCACAAATATTAACACCAAGTAAAATAACCAGTACTTCCATAAATGCGATGACATCATCCATATTTGCCAACATTCAGGGTGTCAAAACATGCAAAACATAATTCATTTTATTTTATAACTTGCCTTCTAAATGAGGGAAATTGCAATGTTGGCAACCCTAACTGAAACTCGTATAAAGGACTACTATAATAGTGAAATATGGATACATGAGTACTGTATAATCTTTTTACAGGATGAGTATGGGGTGTACAACACACCGCTCACAGGATGAGTATGGTGTGCACAACACACCGCTGAAAATTAAGATGTGAAAGGAAACACTTGCTACAGGGAGGGTTCAGCCTGTACAACAAAGATGCACTGAGCTGTTAAGGACCACAAACAATATTTAGGAATTGCTGATAATCAAAACAGAAATCTTAATTGTGATTATTGTCCTTGTATATAAGTCACCAGATGTAAATCTTTAGCAGTTTAAGGAGCAAATAATGAAAACAGAATAATGCTTAGAAACCTCACAACCTCTTCCCCAAACATCATCTTGCCCGGTTACTTTAACCTGATGGCTCAAATGAAAAAATGCTGTAAATATAGTAAAATATAGTTATTTCAGAGAATATTCCAGGAAGCAGCCTAAATAAAGTCACATATAAATGACCTCGTACAGAGGTGTGACAGATTTTTCTTATACATTCTAAACCTAATTTTTACAATGATGAACCGGCTATGAACATAATGATTACAAATACGTGCCAGTCCAGATCACACCCTAATCAAAGTTCAGAGAAGTATGGGCAATATATTTGCGGATCCAGTCTCTAATGCAAGAGGAGAAAATTTAGTAAGCTCATTTTTAATAATAAACTGATTAAATGGGAAACAATAAACTAAGGCCTTACATAAATAAGCTGGAAAGAACATCTAGATAATGAAAACCTAAATCAGTGCCTCAATCAAATAGGCACAATGGCATTAGAAATATGCTCAAGTCGCATACCACTATGAAAAAAAGAGAAAAATAAGTAGAGTGGAAAGTATAGGCATAGAAAACAAATTGTACAACAACTTAAACATCCCACCATATCTAAAAAATGACTAGAAAGACTATGTAGATAAAAATAGGAATGATTGAGGCAAAAAAAACGTCACAAGAGGATGAGATGACGACTGTTTCAGTCTGTCCTGGACCATTATCAAGTCGATTGTGATATATCAACTTGATAATGGTCTAGGATGAATCAAAACTTCGTCGTCTCCTCATCTTCTGGTGTGTGGTTTATTCTTCGTATCTTCAGCCATGCTATTGTGACTCATAGTTCCAGAAGACATTTTGTAGCATGCCTTTACATCTTTTCCAGTTTATTGATGTGTTTCTGGAGATATAGGCACCATACAACTGCTGCATATTCCAATTTTGATCTCTCAAAAATGGGAGGCACCTCTGACAGGATACACACATTTTGCTTATAAAATATTAATATAATGCACAGATAGGGGATTATTTTTAGTCACATAATCATTATCCATAAGTTAACTTCATAGATTGCTGTCTCACAGACATTAGATTAGTTTCTGTATTAAATTTGCTCCATCTTGAAAAATTAACAAACTAAATAAAATGAAGTTTAAGGTTCAATAAAGGTGACTGCTCAGAGCAGTCAGATAATTTAATTACCGTATTTCCAATTTTAGTAAGCAATTTAAAATATTTTTTTTTAGTAGAGACTAGTTAATTTAATTTACCATTGTTAATAATAATAGTTTATGAGTAGTTTACAGACAGTACTGATAAGCTTAATTTAATTACCAGTATTTTAAATTTAAAGTTTTCACAATAATGTACCTTTGATGACACTTTCAGCGTCATTTGATACGACAGCAAGAGACGAGAAAACGGCTCCTACAACATCAACAGCAACAGGTGTTAGTCCCGTCCAACACCTCAGATGTGGCTCAGCCTCCACCAACTTCTTATCAGAACATGGATGACCTCTTTAATAACACCGTTGCGCCAAATGTGAATGTCACTCTCCAGGTAGTCTAGCTAGGGCCTCTTTCCCCTTTAATCAACAGCCTTGATTGTAAGGGGACTTACTTCAAACTGGGGTTGTTTTTTATGATGATGTGGGCAATTGGTTGGTAAAACTGGATTGAGGCTTAAGTGGATGTCATTTTTAAATTTATATGTCAGTAACTGGAAAGTATTAATGATTTTTTGTTAAATGAAAGAGCAAAATGCATTCACTGAAGATCCTTATATTAACAAGTTTATTACTAATTCCGACGACTTCTATTCTTGATAATTTCAGCGTAATGTAGCAGAGTCTCAGACATCTCCAAACTACAACCTGCTCAATTCACCATTAGGGGGTGGTGGACAGATTTCTCCTGGCCAGCGTATTCCCCAACCCCCTTTCTCTCCACATGGTCAGACAACTTCTCCCCTTCCAAATCAGCAGTACAGCAATAGGTACAGGCACAGATAAAACCTTTATTGTTGTATCTCTAAATATTTGCATATATAATGCCCATCAAATCCACATACTTTTAATGGGTTACAGTAAACTACAAGAGTTTTTAACCATAAAATAAAGTGTCACTTCCTAAAGGTGGAAGAAATATTTAGCTTTTTATTAGTAGATAAATTTATATTTTTGACTGTAATACTTCGTATTAACATTGCCAGAAATCTTGAGTCGGATGCATTTAATTCCTTTAATTCAAGGGGCAGTTCTGAGTAGGTGTTGCTTTAAAGAACAATCACAATTGCCGTTTAAAACTTGCATGTGTTGCAGCAGTCTTTTAGCTCACTTTCAGCAGAATTATGTGCCAGTAAATGTTTACTATAAATTTCAGTGTTTTGCTTTTATTTATCTGCATCTTGATACTTTATTCCCTATAGGACTTCTTTTTTACTGAGAGCATGACTGTGTGTAGCATTTACCCGCAGCGATTTCAGTTTCCTTCCAGTCAAAGCTTTGAAGATACACCTGAAGCATTTTCTAAGGAATTTCAAATTCTGAGGAACTATCTATGTAGGTATGTAGGTATACCTACACAAAAGTCTATGTAGGTATATTAAGAATTGGCTTAGTATGTATGCACCAGGCATAAGTTAAAGGAAAAATGCAGGACTCGAAAGTGAGGCTCATGTAATAGTAGTAAAAACAGACACAGGAAGTGGAAGGAAGGCAAAGAAAAGGAAAAAAATAGCTTTTTAATTGGCATTGTGGAGTTGGATAAACCAAGGAACAGAACGATCAGTAGGAGAAAAGAAACCCACATTACTTCTCCCAGTGTTGTGCTTTTATGGGAAACACAAAAGGTTTAAGGATATATTTATATGGATCAGTTGCACAGTTATCAAGCACTGAACATTTAATTAGCACACTGGTTGGTCTGTCACCCACAAAAACCCATCTATGGGGAGGGTAAAAAGGGTGTATTCCTTCCTCTGTTGATTCTTCTGGGGGGAGCCCTGTCGGCTCCCCGGAGCTTATCCAGGCTGATATGCTAATGTCAGACTTTGGCATCAGTCATGTGTATGGAGTTCTGTGGGCCTACCGGGGACCACGAGCCAGAGCCTGGCCTCCCTCAGCTGTATAGCTGTGGTCTGTACAGCTCCCCCCTCTCTGGAAGGGGAGGGGGGAGCTGCACAGACAGTGGCACGGCGACGTGTGACGTCATGCTCGTTTGCTTGTTTCTTTTTGGGGAGTTCTATCCACTTGTTCGGCTTTTGGTAGCAATTTTCACCAGAATAGGGGTTTGTTTTGGGATGCTTACCTTTCTGGGTGCCTGACCCGGTCGATGGCAGACATGGAATGCTTCCAACCACATGGGGGTTTCTATAGGCCATTGCTCCCCATGCCTCTCTGAGGGGGCTAGGTTCTGGCTTGTGGTCCCTGGTCCCGGTTCTGTGGGCGTGGTAGGCCCACAGAACTCCATACACATGACTGATGCCAAAGTCTGACATTAGCATATCAGCCTGGATAAGCTCTGGGGAGCCTCCGGGTCTCACCCAGAAAATGGTGTTTCATTACATTCAACGCTTTTTTTTTATTGCTTACTTACTAGTGTTAAATTTGCAACCTCACAGAGTGCAATATTATTTTTTTCACACATTCTTGTTTCTCTTTGAAAGCCTGTGGTGACTTCTTAATTTTCTAATAACCATAGAAGCATGCATAATTCTTTAGCATGTTTCAGGTATTCCTTTAAAATTGAATCATTTAACGGCATTGAAAATAACTGTAAAAGTTTCTTAAAGTGGCCTTTCCCTCAAGAATTGCATTTCCCAGAGGGCATGAATTATCAAAAGTATTGACTGGTAAAACAATAAGATTTTGCTTGAAATGTTTCTACTGCTAGCTTTTCTTGAAAGTCTCCAGTTATGTTGGTAATGGTAATAGCTTTCCTGGCTAGTCAACAATATTTTCCTTATGGCTATCTTGAGGTTATCATGAGATGATTTCGGGGCTTTAGTGTCCCCACGGCCCGGTCCTCGACCAGGCCTCCACCCTCAGGAAGCAGCCCGTGACAGCTGACTAACTCCCAGGTACCTATTTACTGCTAGGTAACAGGGGCATCAGGGTGAAAGAAACTCTGCCCATCGTTTCTCGCCGGCGCCCGGGATCGAACCCGGGACCACAGGATCACACGTCCAGTGTTCTGTCCGCTTAGCCACCGGCTAGTCAGTATGGGTGTAGGTCCCTAAACCTATTGACATCAATGGGGCTCCGACTGAAGTGTTAATTGTTGTCTAGCTAGGCATGTCACAACAGTGTGTGGTAGTTCATTTCTGCTCATTTACTGATTAATCAAAAGAACTTTTTAAGTTAATCTGATTTCACTTGGGCATTGTCATAAGGCTAAGCTGTGTTTGGAGCGGAATACTCTTACTGTGTTCTAAGCTGTGTAGGAGATGAATGTTTATACGGTTCACTAAGCTGCATTTAAAATTGCTAATGAGGTGTTTTCTCTAGAAATGTCATGAATATTTTACCTATATTCATAGTGAAAGAGCTCGGTAATTCGAATTTTGGTAACCCAAGTCTTTGGGTAATCCAAATAAATTTGAGTTTCAGTTTTTGAGTGCTCAACTCTACTAAAAATTTGTGTTGCTGAGATTTCTATTCAACAAAAACCTGAATAAATTCAAAATTGTTAATTTTTGGAATGTCTGACTAACTCGAATGGAAGAAGGCCCATATAATTTTGATTATCAAGCAAAGACAGTACTTTAAAAGTTTTGTGAACTGTATGTTTAAAATCTGACATTAATAATCCTGTACAACAATCTACTCGATTATCTTATTCTTTTATTTTCTTGGTCAAATAAACAACAGTGGGCAGATGGGTGGATACCAGGGAGCACAAGGCCCGCAACTATCTCCAAGATTATCCCAGGGGTCCCCAGTTCCGCCAGGCTATCAACCAGGAGGCCAGCCACTCCCTCAAATGTCCCCCACAGGTCCTGGCACGCCAGGCACGCCTGGGGTACAAGTACCTCCTGGTCAGCAAAGTCCGGCGTGGTCATCTCCGAGTCCGCAACAGCGGCCATCACTAATGTCCCAGAACCCGATGCTGAATGCACAACTTTCTGTGAGTTTTTAACTTTGTCATAAAGTTAATTGTAATACTGTATGCCAGCTTTGATAAAGAAGTTATATATTTATCTCAAAATATGTAAACCAGTTTATAGTTATAAAAGTTAAGACCTATTAGAATTTTATTATTTTGTTACAGTATGAAAACATTTTTTAAATACCTAGTCATTTTAAGCTATATTTCATGCAAAAGTACTTGCTTTCAGCTTTTATGGCACATCGAGAAGTTAACCTGCCACTTGAAACCTCATATAATAATATATTCACATTATATTATATGTTAAGGAAATATGGCATACAATGTAATGGGTGTGTGTGTGTGTGTGTATATATTAGAAATATATTAATCTTTTATGTAAGTAAATTGCATTTGCAGTTTGAGATTAAATATTTGTTAATGCCTACATAATGGCCATGGCTGCCATAGGTCGCCATAATGTGCAGTTACAAAATAAATTTAATTAAATTAAATCTTCAAAAGTGATATCCATTGAAAACTGAGTTTCTTGTTTTGAAGCATGCAGCAATGGCAGCATGCTTACAAGTTTCAGAAAGGAGAGTTTAAGGAGTCCAGTGTAGCCCCTGTTGCTTCACAAACATCAAAATTTTTTGCCTTGCTTATTTTTCAAACTGTTACACTAAACTGTATATGAAATAGCAATATGAACACTGATAATTATCCTCTCTATTCAGTTAAATTAATAATTGCAGTGTTTTGGTGATGCTAATGGGGGAACGTGTATATCTTTTCCAAGAACTGCAGACCATTGCCAGAGCCATCTTAGCATAGTAGCTACTAAGCTCTTGCTGATGTTGATCAACAGCACAAAGTGAAGCCAGCATTATATGAAGTGCAGAGCAATATAGATGTTAAAAAGGAACTACTTTTAGTTTTTTCATGTTAATAGTATTGAAAGTGGCAACTTACATCTACTAATTTCATTGATTTCAGTCCTTTATAAGAAATGATGGTGGTCGACAGTTTCCGGGTGGTGGGCGTGCAGGTCAGTTACCTTCCATGCGTTCTGTGCCGAGTCCTAGTTCACGCCAGTCACCTTATCAAAGTATGGGTCCTCATACGCCTGGGGCCACTGGGCAAGGAGACCCAGGCCCCTATCCTCCCTCCTCTCCACAGCAAGGACAACCACCTTTAATTTATCAACAACAGCAACAACAACAGCAGCAGCAGCAACAGTATCGTATTCAACGAACAATGTCAGCACCTGGGCAGATAACAGGTAAGATACTGAATAGCCTTTTCTGATCACCCTATACTCAGGCATCTTATGGATGCAAAACTAAGGTTTCTGCATTGTAGATTTTATGGAAAATAAAGAAGTATACTCTTCTTGTACTTTTGGGATTCAAGGTTTTTATTCAACTTTCTAACAGTGCAGGTACTATTGTAGTAGTATTTTTTGCATATTTCACAGTTACTCATACATACACTCCTTTCATTAATTATTACTTTGAGATTTTGATTGCAGCTTATATATACTTTTATAAATGAAAAGTAAACATCTTTCTTTTAAAACCCATGATTTTTCCTGCAGTAGTTAGTTAACATTGGTTTGGTTTGCTGTATTGTAGTTTGGTTGTGGGACACTGGTATACATTCCTATCCACGGCATGGAAAAATCCTTGCATACCTTATCACCCTTAAATCCATCCCCATTTCTGAGTTACAGCCAATGCCTCCCTCCTTTTTTCATTTCTAGGTCAGTTTGGCCTATCTACTTCTGTCTTATAAAGCTTCTTTCAAAGAAAATTTTGTTGCACCAAGTTCATAATTTTTTTTGCTACAGTACAAATTTTCAGTAAAATAATAATACTGTAGCCTTACTCAAAAGTCATATGCAACTACTTTGAAAATTTGTAGAAATAAAATGAAAATAATCTGAGAAATAAAATGAAATGATCACAAATAAGCAGTGCTCATTATTTTTTTGCTGCTCTGATGCAGAAGGCATCTTCAGTATGGTACCCGTCAGCTGACTTCATCTAAATTGACTATGTGAGGTAACCTGATGCCTGATTCACACTAATAGGCAAATAGAGCTTTAGTTAAAGTAATATATGATCGTGTAAGGAAAAGAAATGTACTGTATGTGCTTTCTTTTGCTTCCTTGTCAGTTAAGCTCTATCAAAGAAAAAATTGTGTTTTATGAGATTAACAATGAAATCTTAATCATTCATTGCTAAAAATGTATGTCATTTATAGTGATTTACCTGGCAGGCTCAACTAGACAATCTAACACACGCATGGAGTATTCAGAATATGTTGAAAATGGTGTCGAGAATTTATCGCTACTCAAAATTTTTATTTTCTTAACAGTAAGTTGTTAGAAGATACAAATCTCTTTAGCACCTCAGTTTTAACAAATAAAACCTGATTGCATATGATTTTTAAGGATGATTACTGTATTTTTAGTAGAGTGACATTATGTAACAAGTCCAGTAGTCGTATTTCTGATGAGGTGGAAAGAACCAAGGAAATTACTGATGATGATGAGGCTCCTATAATCTATGTATTTGTAGATAGATTAGTGTAAATTTGTTATTAGGAGATAAAATGTTTAGAACACGTTCTGTATTTTGATAATGTTAAAGGCAAAATTTGTTATCTAGTACTGTAAACAAGTGACCAATCCTCTTCATACAGCAGTAAACAGTTTTGTTTAATCAGCAGGCAATAATCTGGTTACTCATCACTATTTGAGTTAATAATTCTTTATATTAGCTGTTCAGTACTTTGTATATTTGTATACTGATGGGTCATTCAACTTTTTCGTCACATATTCGTGTTTGTTCATTGGAAATGCAAAGGAGCCAGTATGGAAACTCAAGTGCAGTGAGGGTGGACAACGAATGAAATACACTGAAATAAGTAGTAACGGAAACCAACTCCATCCACAGCTTCAAGAACAAATGTATAAAAAATGTGAAAAGACAAGAAATTATGCACCAGATACAAATAGCTTGGAGGCAGGACCCAATGAGCTGGTCATTCACCATAAACATTTGATATATAAGAATGCATGTTGGGAAAGATAATCAGAAAGAGGATGATGGAACATGTGAAGAGAACTAGCCTTGTAACTAAGAGATGGCATAGATTTAGAGGGGCCAAGGCATTCTTGATGAACATGATAGAATTCTATGAGTGAGTCACCACCACCAGCAAAATACATATACAGTACTATAAACACCTTACATTAGGCTAATCCTAGTATATGCAGCACCAGTATGGAATCCAAACTAGGTAAACCACAAGAAGAAAATTTGGAATGGTCAAAGACATAATATAAGAATAGTACCAAAGATAAAAAGATGAGCACAAAAACAGGCTAAAAAAACAGCATTGAATGTAATGAATGCCATTATCTGGGTGAGCCTCTACGGCTTCCTGGAGCTTATCGGGCTAATGTATGTTATATTAGACTGGGACATTAGCTATGGAGTTCAGACCTACCAGGGACCAGCACCAGAACCTGTCCCCTTCAGAGAGGTTTCAGAGAGCAATAGCCCGGGAAAACCCCCTTGTGGTTGGGGGTGTTCCTTATCTGCCATCGACTGGGGTTAGGCACCCAGAAAGGTAGGCATAACAAAACAAACGCCACATGGTAAGAAACTAAAACAAAAAACCGAACAGAGATAGAAACTCCCTACAATCCCAAGGAAACAAGCAAACAAGCAATTATCACAATTTACTGCGTCCCCCCTCTCGGGGAGGGGAGGGCTGCTCTGACGACTGGCGCGGCAGTAAATTGGGATAATTTTGAAGGTGGGAACAAAGCTGCCCCAACAAAGTGATAGTACAAGTATAGTCAATTTGCTGGGCCTTAATATCAAGAACATCACTCATTGTGTAACACTTTAGGAAATGAGCAACAGGCAATCTCAAACTGACTCATTTAAGATTTCCTTGACACTTGTATAGGAATTTTCTGAATTGAACTACATAATGCCTAAAGCCTGCCTAATGTGATGTTCTTGTAGCTTGATTGCTATGATATTCAGCCCTCCCTGATTCTTGGGGAGTTTGCTCTCCTTTCCATTATAGACCTCCTTCTCTTTAAACTTGGCCACATCTATCAGTTCATTCATATGATGTTGAAGATAAGCAAGTATAAGGCTTATGCTGGAGTGTATGTTGAGACAAACTTAGCCATCATTCATAGCCATCTTCTCAGTTCTGTATATAATGGTGTGTACATGCCTACTCAAACAACACAACATTCAAAGATTGGAGCAAAACCTTGAACACTTAGATTGTGAAAGTGAATGCCAGTCCTCTGCAAGAAGGAAAAGAGGAGCAGGACGAGAAAATAGGTTATAACCAATAACAAGGCCTTCTTGGAAGTACCACGTTGAGTGAGATCATAGTGTGCACCCCAGAAAATACTCCATGAATGGGAACTTTGTCATCAAACAAGAAGTCTTAGACATTGAAAGCTAAATTAGCTTCTAAACAATATTTAACTAAATTTATGTGGGGTACTTGGGGAATGAGATTAGTGATAACCACCAATGTGCTCCAATCCTCAATAGATTCTCAGCATCTTGAATAAACTACATGGAGCACCTTGAAGACAGATTATCAATATATCACTGTAGGGTTGTCACCCTTCCAATCCAGTTCTTGACCCCACTAGAAGATGCACAAATTCTGGGTGAATTGTCCCTGTTAATAAACAACCTGAAAAATAAATGAATAGTGTGGATGCAGAGTACAAATCCACAGGGATAAAAATCCTGAAGAGGAAAATTTAGTGGGTAATATGCAAAACTAGTAATTTTCCTGATCACCTGATAAAATGGCTCCAGCTGATGAGCATTCTGAAGCGCAAAGAGAACCTACTAGAATGGAGAGCCTGAAGTTGTTAAACATGTTGGCAACAAGAAAGTGAAACCAAAATCGAGCTTCCTGCAGAAGGTGAAAAGCCAAGTTACAAAGACAAGTGCCCAGCAATTAATAGGTGCACTCGACAAATATTTACTTGACCCTGGACTGGCCACAGAAGGCTGCCAAACATCATCTGGGATCCAACAAATTAAGACCAAAAGAAACTAGCTGCACACTATTCTAGCTGTCTATCCCAGTGAAAACTCATAAATAATCATGTGGCTACTAAAAAGGCAACACAGAGACATAAAAAGAACAGGCAGATACTCCTTGCTAGGTCATTGAAACTACTAATCATGGGCAGATAGCAAACAATGTTCTGACAGTGACCCAGCAGTGTGAATGTGTGCTAAGGCTTACAGCAGAGAAACAATAAAGTTTCCTAAGAATAGACAGGAATTAGCTCTCTTGGCCTTGCCTGTTTGGCTTCCGAGACCCCTGTTAGACTGCGCTTTCAGGCACTTGTTGTGGGTTTCCTGCACTTGGTTACCTTTGCATTCTCATTTGATATGTTTGGTAACTGGTGACTTTGTTTCTTATTTTTGACCTTTGGGAGATTTTCCTTGCCTCCATGCTTTGGTTGGGTACTGGCAGGTTTTGGACTTTTGCGTGTCTCAGCACTGGAAGGCTGCATTTTTTCTTTGCCTGCGAAGTCGTTGTTGGGTTCTGCATCCTTTCATAATTGTTACTCCAGTCAGTTGCTTCAACCCTGGGGGCATGGATTTTGGTTGGGGCCTTGCTCTCAGCCTGCCTTCAGCTTGCCCCAGGGTACCTTGCTTGTAGCTTCTCACTCCATTTTGTCTCAGTTTCTTTGTTCAGGACATTTGGCAGCTCTGGCATATTGTGGTCTATTTTCATGAGACTTTTGCTCTTCCTTTGGTTGTACATTTGACCCCTTTTGGGGTTTCTGCATAACAGAATGAGTGGTGTTCGTGGTGAGAGTGGAGATCTATCTTAATGGTTTTGGGATGTCTTCTATGCCCAGTTCAAAACCAATGTACTAGACTCCTAAAGGATTTCTTCATCCTTTCTCTTCTGTTTTGCACCATGTTTCTTAGGTTCTTTGACTGTTTTGCCTGCAAGCTGTTCCCTTGAAGCCCTGTGCAGGTATTCAGCAGTCTGCCTCATGTTTTAATGTTTGGATCTTTAAAATGCTCCCCATGGCCTACTTTCAGAGTTATTCATAGACTGCACAAGAAAGGAGCTCCTACTAATCATTTGGGAGCTATCACTTCTGGAATGGCCTGTGTGGCAACTTTGATAAAAAACTGGGTGTTGATCATTATAAACACTCTTCATTGACTGGCCCCTTGGTCACTTCCTTTCCCGACT